TATGCAAAAGTTAAATATGCAAAAGTTAAAAATAAAGAAAACAAGTCAATAAAATATGGTCTATCCTCCCTCCTTAACGAATTTACCTTTATATAATTCGGAAGGAAGAGTACTTGGGATCCTTGGAGTTCATGCTGAAATAAGGAGGTGAGAGAACCTTTCTCCAGCCCACCCACGGCCTCAGGTGTGCGTGTGCACAGTCTGTTCAGCCCCTGCAAACAGCTATCCCTTAGCTATCCCTGAGGCCTACTGTGTGAACACCAGCAGTGTAGTTCTCCCTTACAAAGGTGATCTGAAAAAGAGACTCTTATAGGCTCTGGGAGTAAGCAAGGGGCCACTTGGGCAAGGATTTTTAGGGTCCTGTTATCTGGGCGATGATCCAAAAGGAGGGAATAGAATGGACTCTGGGTGTGCACTTGTCCCATGAGGTTGTGGTGCAGTAGAAAGAGAAAGTCTGAGTTAGGCGTGAAGCAGGGGGGAGGGGTATTGAATTTGGTTTGAAGGATAGTGGATGTTTTGTTAGGGCTGCCAAAGAAGGAACTCCCAAAGCCAAAAGGGGTAAAGAATTATGAATTGATTTGGTCACCTGGAAACCCAGATGGGCTGAGCTCCAAAATGGCGCCAGCACCCAAAGATGGGGGGGAGTCAGAGGTTTTTAAAGGATTCTAGCTGAGCTCTTTCTGGGTGGAGAATTCTCTGTGCAGGTCTGGATTCCAGGAAACTGCAGAGGGGAGAAGTAATGGTCTTAGCAAGTAGAATGTGGTCTAAGCAAGTGGAATGTCCATTGTGAAGCGGCCTAAGGGTCAGTTCTCAGGGGAGAGGGTATCGATTCAATTGTTTGATCAGACTTAACAGAGGTCTATCATACAGTCAGAGCTAGTCATACTGATTGGGAGTCATCAATAGGCAGAAGACTGTAAAAGCTGTGGAAATTAACGAGATCATTCAGGGAAAGAAAAGTAACAGCAAGGCTTAAAGGACATATATTTGGGAAAAGTGTATCTTTAAGGGCTTGGGATAGGAGTGGCAGCCTTAGGTGGTCTAAGGTTTTCAGAGTAGCTCAGATCAGGAAATGGCAAGAAGTCTTTAAATATGGGCATTTATGACACTCCTGGCTTATGACAGGTGAGATCTGTTCTGTTGTAGTCTTCTCTCTCTCAATAGTAGCTCAGATCAAGACCAAACTTTGAGATCTTCAGGCACGGAAACCACCTTATTCAGTGAAATGTTTGTTGTTCTGGACTCTGAATTCATTTCTAAAATTGCTCAAGTCTACCTACTCCAAATACTTCTTTATTTTTTATTTTTTCCTCAAATACTTCTTGATTTACAATGACGTTACTTCCTGATAAACCCATTGTAAATTTAAAACGTCGTTTAATACACCTAACTTACCAAACATCATAGCTTAGCCTAGCCTACCTTAAATGTTCCCAAACACTTAGTAAAATGTCTTCCTCTTCTTACCAGAGGCAGAAGACACAGATGGGCATTTTTGTAGACATGATGGGATGCAAAAACACAATATTCAAAAAAAAAAAAAAAAGGTTGGCAGCACAGTACACTGTAGAGCGATGGTTGTTTCCCCGGTGACCACATGCCTGACTGGGAGCGGCAGCTCGCTGTCACTGCCCAGCATCACAAGAGAGTATCGCGCCACCTATCACCAGACCAAACGCAAAGTATGGTTTCTACGGAACGTATATTGCTTTCCCACCATTGTAAAATCAGAAGATTGTAAGTTGAATCATCATAAGTCAGGGTGTGTCCATATAATTGTTCTCACCTCAAACTATGACTGGTCTGGTTTAGTAGCTGAAATGGTTTAGTAACTGGAAGAACCCACGAAGCCAGTGGGAGACTAGCTTTACTCAACAGCTTTTGCACGATAAAATTTTTACTATGTTAGCTATAATGATATGATGGCACATTTGCCTCTGAAGTTTCTAAGATGCAGTTAATGCTTTCGAGTTTCTAGATTTTAAAAAACTTTCTATTAGCTAAATATTTATGCAATGTTTATCCAAAGGAGATGTTTTTCTGCCCTTCCTTCAAGGGCAATTAAGATGGAAGCTTTTTGATAACCTCAGTGTTTAGTCTACTACGGTAGTTCTTAGAATATAACTAGGCCTGATGATGAATTCCAGGAAAAATAAAATAATAAATATCTAATAATAAATGTTAGAATTCAACTGAAGGACTTTGCATGCATGCATATAAGCATAACCAATGGACGCAAAATACTGAGTGGTGAGGTGGTGAGGGCATGTTTGGGAGTGGGGTGGGGGGGAGCAATGATAAGATCTAATACCTTAATAAATAAATAAATAAATAAATAAATAAATAAATAAATAAATGTTAGATTTGCAATTTTCTACCTAAGAAAAAACAAATGGCCCTTTAGAAAAATGAGTCTTGTGATTTAATTATTCTCAAACTTAATAATTAGTGATTTGAACACTTTGCCAAGATTCTATTTTACATTTGTTATTTTATTTAATATATAGCTATCATTTTTCTCATTTTCTTAATGAGGAAATGGAGACATAGAAATATTCAGTTTTTCCAAATTCACAGAGCAGATAAAGCAAATGAACCAGGATCTAAAACCAAGTAGGCTGGTTCTAGAGCCATCAGCTGAAACTATACCGCCTCCCATTTATGACTCCTCAGCACTAAATTATTGATTTGTTTTTCCTCTTTTTTTTTTTTTTTTTTTTTTTTTCTAATTTGAACTCCTATGAGAAAAGTTTAGGCATATTAGGGTGAGTTCAATAATGCTTTTTTTTTTTTTTTTTTAGTTCTTTTAAGCACTGTTAAGCTTGATTGTTGTTTAAGTAATATAGTCAACCTTTGATGATTCAGAATGTTGTTTTGTGTTTTACTATTCCTTGCTTGAGCAATTCAGACAACTTTGTTGAATAACCTAGGAAATATTCTTAGCCCCTGGGAAGGAAGGGGCAAAGAACAACTTTGAGAATCAGATGAAAGCTAAGTATCTGTTACAAGGAAAGTTTCACTCAGACAGCATTTTGAATGTGATGTCAGAGGCTTCGCGAGTTTAGGTCCCTACTATCCTTTCCTCAGACTAATACAATGACCAGGCATCCCAGCTTTTCCAAGTGAGACTCAACCAATCTTTCCCCATTCGCTTCTCTGAGAAGCAATGTCGTTAAGCCGTGTCCTCTTCCAGAACTGAAACTCTTCTCTGGGCTTCCTTGTAGTTTTTACTACGACAGCCTGAGAAGTGAATACAACTTACCGAGTACCAGTCGGGCAGTCAGGACTCCCAGTGCCCAGGAAACATTCACTTAGAGAATTTCCCATCGGCTTCTTCATGTCTTGCTGGCAGGCTTGGTTTCTGTGTTCCACACCGACACACCTGTATTTATAAAGTGAAAGTGTGATGAGTCTGCTATCTCTTGTTCTGGAGCTTCCTGGGTGCCAAGGGAATAGTTTACATTGAATTTCTGTGAGGGATTTTACATTTAACTTAAACCACCCTTGAGAATTAAAACCCCTGACTTCTCCTGGGGTAACTAATGATGACTCCGGTTATGATGCTTGGGTGCATGGTCTCAGGATGATTCCCAAGTCCTTCGGTGCTTGGAGACATTCGTCCTGCCCTTGGCATGGCGTCTGCAGTGAGTTGCCTTGAAATGGTGGCTGGGGTGGGGGCCCAGTTAATGTTTTATAGGGAATGAGGAGAGGTTATGCAAAGATGGTATGATTAGGGTACACCTGCTACAGACACCAGAGAGGTGTTATTGGAAAGCCCCCTCCCCACACCCACCCCCAGTCAGAGGGATAGGGCTGTCCCCTCCTCAGTTGTGTGCTCCTATGAATGAATATTGTATTATTTCTTACAACTGTACATGAATTTATAATTATCTCAAAATAAAACATTTAGTTAAAAATATAGGTGGCATCATCTAGAAATGTATAAAAAACATAGGCTTTTTTTTTTCCTAAAGAATTTCTATCTGGTACATTATGTTTATTCTTGTGAGTCTCAAAATAGTTAGATGTAGCAATCCATCAAAAGTTTTCTTGCACACTCAAAAGAATATTTAGTTGTTCTTTCTTCTCTATCGTGATGGGTTTTCAGTTGAATGTTCTCAAACAAGTAATGTACTCAAGGGGCTCTGTCCAAAAGACCTCAAATCTCATAACTATAGCCTTGCTCTATATTGACAATTCCTTGGCAATTGTCCTTATTGTTGAGGCAACAACATCTACAGGTAATAATTTTCTTTTATATTGATACAGAAATACTTTTAAATTTTTTTGCATTAGAAATTAAGGCTTGATTATTCTAAATCATTCGTAGAGCATTCACTTATCTCTGTGAGCTGGGCTTGTTGTTGTCATCTACATTATCTTATTTGACATAAGAATCCTACCATATATATCTGGTAGGATTCTTATGTCAAATAAGATAATGTAGATGACAACAACATATATATATATATATATATATATATATATATATATATATATATATATATATGGTAATGGAGGGTTGGAGAGTTCATGCAAATTGTCTGAGATTCCACAGAGTCACTGGCAAAGCCGGAATTTGACTCTAGGCCTGTATGGCTCCACAGCTAATGGCACTTGCACAATCCTTCACTTCCACGCCATAATGGCGTTTGTAAATGAATGAATGTGTAATTCACATCTATTTCCTTTAAAATTGTAAGCTTTCATTTTGTTTTGTGTCCATAGTTAGTTAATAAAGTTCCATGTCTGTTTAAGTTTGCTAAGTTAAAACAATTTGTTTTATTCCTGGCCTGTATCAATAAATAAATACACTATCAAGTTTAATATGAGGTACTGAATATGAAAGTACTTTGTATCAAATTTACACTAATGTGTCTATGTTTTTGTAATTTTTATTATATAATCACTGTAAATAAGTGTGCAATAATAATATTTTATTTTGTTCTAATATTCACTTATTTTGCTTTCAATGGGCACCGTTTCCAGCATATTAGTAAATGGGGACTGAAAACGATACAACTGTGACAGTATTCATTATTTTGGAGTTAACAGAGGATACTACAATTTGTGGCTTTTTATTTATTGTGTTTTCAGGAATCTACGTTGTCACCTTAATGGGCAATGTCAGCATAATCATGATAATTGGAAGCAGTCCACAACCTCATGCCCCAGTGTATCTTTTCCTCTGCCATCTGGCCTTCATAGACATTGATGACTCCTCATCGGTCACACCTGCGATGCTCACGGACTTCCTCAGGAAAGAAACCTCTATTCGTGTTGCTGGTTGTGTAGCCCAACTCTGTTCTACAGCCACATTTGGGTTAGCTGAGTGCTTCCTGCTGGCTATCATGGGCTATGACCACTCTGTGGCCATCTGCTCTCCACTGCTCTCCTCCACTCACATGTCCCCCAGAATCTCTACTCTGTTAGTGGGGATGTGCTACCTAGGTGGATATGTGAATGCTTGGACATTTACTAGCTGTTTATTAAGTCTATCCTTTTGTGGACCAAATAAAGTCAATCACTTTTTCTGTGACTATTCACTACGTTTGAAGCTTTCCTGTTCTCATGAGTTTACTTCTGAAATAATTCCAGCCATCTCTTCCTGCTCCATCATTGTGGTCACTGTGTTTATCATTGTTCTGTCGTATGTTTATATCCTCTTATCAACCCTGAAGATCCACTCCACCAACGGGTGCCACCAAGCCTTCTCCGCCTGCACCTCCCACCTCACAGTGGTCACTCTGTTCTATGGGACCCCTGCATTCATTTATGTGATGCCCACATCAAGCTACTCAGCTGAACAAAACAAAGTGGTGTTTGTGTTCTGCGTGTTGGTGATCCCAATGTTGAACACCCTTATCTACAGTATGAGGAACAAGGAGGTTAAAGAGCCTAGGAGGAAATGGATAGAACATATTGGTGGTCCTAAAGTAGTCTGATTTAAATAATACACACTGTATAATGAAGACCCCTTTTGCAGATGATTGGATAATGTACTAAGTTCCATTGCATAGTCATAGTATTCAAGACTTATACATTTCATTGTGTCACTCTCAAGAAAATTTTCAAAGAATAAATGTGCATTCAATAAGACCAGAGCATCCAGAAAAAAAAAATTACTTTATCTTTATTTCACCCACCATTTGTGGCATCCACAAGTGTAAGTATTTTCAAATAAGTTTTATGTTCTTTGAATGCAGTCTTTGGAATTAACAGCTGGAAGCATCTGGAACTCCTTGGAAGAATCATGTTGCCACCCAAGATCTCATCACCTGAAAGAGATGATGTCCATGATGTACATACAGTGTAAGGCTTGAAATCAGTGATTCTGGTAACTGTAAAGCTTCTGGCGCCCTGTGACCTGAGTGTGACCAGCAGGATTCCTCCCACAGTACCTCTGTCAGTGAGTCTCTTCAAGCCAACTCAGAAGATACCTGAAAGCTCTATTTAGCTACTAGTTCTTTCTTTTCAAGAATCTATTTGACAAAATAAATCAAGGAGTCCCCTGAAGAAACTCTACTGGGGGCTAGTATGATGTGGCTCCTTTCTAGATGAAGAAGGAAGGTTACGTTTTTAAAGGTTGTTTCAATCTTGTCAAATGTATGCTCCTTTAAAAAAGTTGTATTAACTTTATTGGGGTGACATTGGATAATAAAATGACATAAGTGTACTATAATAAATCATCTATATATTGCATTGTGTGTTCATCACCCAAAGTCAAGTCTCCTGTCACCATATATTCTGGCCCCTTTTACTCTCTTCTACCTTCCCTTATCTCCCTTCCCCCTTGGTAACCACCATACTGTTATCTGTGTTGGTGAGTTTTTTATTTGTTCATTTGTTGCTTTTTGTTTTATATCCCTCATATGAGTAAAATCATATGGTTCTTGTTTTTTCCATCTGACTTATTTGGTTTAGCATGATATTGTCAAGATACATGTTATCACAAATGGCAGTATTTCATCTTATCTTATGGCTGAGTATTCCACTGTATATATGTACCACTTCTTTATCCAGATATCCACTGAAGGACACCTAGGCTATTTCCATATCTTGGCCACCATGAATAATGCTGCAACAAGCATAGGGTTATATATATCTTTATGAAGAAATGTTTTAACCTTTGGGGGGTAAATACTGAGAAGAGGGCTTGCCTAGTTATATGGTAGTTCCGTTATTAAATTTTTAAGGAACCTCCATACTGTTTTCCATGGTGACTGTAGTAGTTTACATTAGCAGTGAATAAGGTTCCTTTTTCTCCTCAACCTCTGTAATTCTTGTTATTATTTGTTTTGTTGCTAATAGTCATTCTATTCAGGTATAAGGTGGTATCTCGTTGTGGTTTTGATGTGCATTTCCTCTATAGCTTGTGCGTTTAAGCATCTTTTCATATATATTAACCATTTGTATGGGAGAAGTGTCTGTTCAGGCCCTCTGCCCATTTTTATTTTTTATTTATTTATTTATTTTATTTATTTATTTTTAAAAATATATTTTATTGATTTTGTACAGAGAGGAAGGGAGAGAGATAGAGAGTTAGAAACACTGATGATAGATATCGATCAGCTGCCTCTTGCACACCCCCTACTGGGGATATGCCCGCAACGAAGGTACATGTCCTTGACTGGAATCGAACCCGGGATCTTTCAGTCCCCAAGCCGACGCTCTATCCATTGAGCCAAACCGGTCTTGGCCCTCTGCCCATTTTTAAATTGAGTTGTTTGGTTGAAACCAGTTTGGCTCAGTGGCTAGAGTGTCAACCTGTGGACTGAGGGGTCCCAGGTTTGATTCCAGTCAAGGTCATGTGCCTTTGTTGCGGGTGCATCCCTAGTGGGGGATGTGCAAGAGACAGCTGATGGATGTTTCTGACTCTCTGTCCCTCTCTCTTCCTCTCTGTAAAAACTCAATAAAATATCTTTTTAAAAATTACTTAAAAAATTGAATTGGTTTTTTTTGTTGTTGTTGTTGGTGGTGGTGGTGGGTTGTATGAGTTCTTTTTATATTTTGGATATTAGCTCATCTGAGGTATTGTTTGCAAATATCTTCTTCCATTTGATTGGTTGCCTTTTTGTATTATTGGCAGGATTGGAAATTGGTTTAGACACTATAAAACACAGTATGGAGGTTCCTAAATAAATGAAAAGTAAAACTACCACATGACCTCGCAATTCCACTTCTGGGTATTTATCTGAAAAAAGTGAAAACACTAATTGAAAAGATATATGCACCCCTATGTTCATTGCACACTTATTTGCAATAGCCAAGATATGGAAGTAAGCTAGATGCTATCGATAGATGAGTGGAAAATGAAGATATGGTTAATATATACAATGGAATATTACTCAGCCCCCCAGAAAAGAATACACTCTTGCCATTTGAGACAACATAGGCCAACCTAAAGGATATTATGTTAAGTGACATGAGTCAGAGAAAGACAAATGCCATATTATTTCACTTATATGTAGAATCTAAAAAAAAAAAACAATAACCCCAAACAGAAACAGACTCATAGAAACAGAGAACAGATTGGTGGTTGCTGGGGTAGAAGGATGGATGTAAAAGGTTAAAGGGACTAAGAGGTACAAACTTCCAGTTATAAAAATAAAACATGTGGATATAATGTAAAGCATAGGGAATCCTATCTAATAAAAGAGTAATATGCAAATTGATCATCACTCCAACACAAGATGGTGGCCACAAGATGGCCAGCAGGGGAGGGTAATTGTGGGTGATCAGGCCTGCAGGGGAGGGCAGTTGAGGGGGACCAGGCCTGCAGGAGAGGGTAATTGGGGAGGGCAAGCCTGCAGGGGAGGGCAGTTGGGGGAGAACCAGGCCTGCAGGGGAAAGTAGTTAGGGGGACCAGGCCTGCGGGGAGGGCAGTTGGGTGAGACCAGGCCTGCAGGGGAGGGGGGCAATAAGGGGATAAGGACACATATGTAATACCTTAATCAATACATATAAGTGGATAAAGCTCAATTATCTTTTTATATGTGAAGTTAAGTACTAAGTGTGTCTTAATATAAAATATCAAAGTCAATTTGGAACCAGTATTTATCTAGACAATTTATTGTATTATATTCTAATAATTAACTAAATAAAGGTTATATACGGTAACTATGTGTGAATACCTGCACAGAAGGAAAACAATAAATTGACCACCTGAGAATATACAGAATCTTGAAAGATTAGTTGTACTAGTATAGTAGTATTGGTGTGTGAATTGTATTGCTCAATTAGTTACTACAGAACATAATGATGCTACTTTAATGCTTTTGAATTCTCAGTTGAAGCTCTAGAATCATCAGAGATTTATCCCCAAAGGAAACAAAAAATAAAAGATCACTATATAACCACAATAGCTCTAATTTGCTATTGAAAGATGAATGACTTATTCCAAGGTAAGATTTCGACTTTTGTTAATGAAACTGTTGTAATGATTTTCATTTACCATTTGAGAACACCTACTCCCTAACATTACATGTGTGCTCACAAGTCATTGTTGGGAAACAGGGCAGATGTAATTAAGCAATTAGCCAGTGAGCAATTGGCTGAATTGCTGTTTAGTTCATATGTAAACTGGCATAATCTAAGTTATGAGGATTCCTGTTTATCTACCCAGAAGACAGAAACTCATATGATCATTCAACACTAACCAAACTCAGCACTCTCCAGTAATGGAAATTAATTCACTACCATTGAGCTATGCTCAACATTTATTGAAATGAAACACATTTAAGGTTTTAAAATGCAAAGATATTGTAGATATCTTTGCAGAAAGATTGACTTTGTTTATGGCTCTAAATGCTTTAGCTTCAGGGCAATAACACCGTAGATAGAGCTCAGGATATAAAGTCAGAAAATCTGGAGATGAGGGTCGGCCTGGACACAAGGTGGGTGATCCCTTTTCAGCTCTTAGACTGCACTTTATTCAGCTACATATTATGTTGATAATAATATTATTTCATTTTATGAAACTTAATTAGAAAACATTGTTTGCCTGACTGGTTTGGCTCAGTGGATAGAGCGTCGGCCTGTGGACTGAGGGGTCCCGGCTTCGATTCCGGTCAAAGGCATGTACCTTGGTTGCAGACACATCCCTAGTGGGGGATGTGCAGGAGGCAGCTGATCGATGTTTCACTCTCATCAATGTTTCTAACTCTCCATCCTTATCCCTTCCTCTCTGTAAAAAATCAATAAAATATATTTAAAAAAAAATAAAACATTGTTAAAATAGGAATATTATATATTTTAATTATCTTCTGAATATCAATCATGTTTTTGCATAGTGATTACATTAATAGTTCAACTTAGTTGATAAAACAGTAATATTCTGAATTGTAAATATTAAAAAATATCCAGTACATTTACAATAGAAGATCTCACTCAGAAATTTAATTTGATATTCTTATCTGAATTAGTATCAGGAACAATTGTATTTCTCCTTTGAAAAGACTGACTTTATTTAACTGACAGATACTGTGAAATAGATAAATTAGTATGTGCTTGTTTCATTGCTAACGGCTAGTTGGCTTAAAGGACAGCCTATTGTCCTCTCATTGCTAGATGTACTGATTTCATGTTAAGTATTATTTAACTGCATTTGCTATTTAAATTCATTTGTTAAATAATACTAAAGGAATGGGGCAGTTAAGACTTCCCGAGCTTCATGTTCTAAATTCATGACTTGTTACATGACCTCTTTCAGACCCAGGTTACTCTTCTATAAAACAATTAGTATTAATATTATTTTATGGGCAATCAATTAAACTGTATACATGTATATATTTACATGATTATTAGCCCTACACTTATCATTTAGTAAGCATATAGTAAATATTATATATATATTATTTTTTTAATTAGGGTGAACCGCCATGAATCCCATTCTTTTTTTTTTCTTAAAAAAAACACACACATATTTTATTGATT